CTATCCAAGCCTCTGTGACCTCTAGATGTCTCTGAAACACTCTATGGAGCTGGGTGCCTCGGTGTCCTCCCGTGTAACACAAAGGGATGCACGAGGCGGTCCTCCAGGCTCTAGTTTCTCACGATGCCCCAGCAGGTCAGGGCTCAGCTCAGGGGCAGCAGGAGCCGCGCAGAGAGAACACGGAGGGAGATACACCATCTTGGTGTCTTGAGATGTGCCGCTCCTCAGGGTGAGGGCTCAGAGCCCTTCACTCCAGACAAGGCCACTCTCCTAGTTTCATAGCAAGACAAGCAGAAACCAGAGAGCCTTCCTTGCTGCCTAGGAAAGCCAGAGGAATCTGGGAGCTGGCCTGGGGCAGCTTGAGAAAGGAGGGTGGGGTGGGGTGAAAAGGCATGTAAAATGGGGGGGGGCTGGGAGGAGCCTCAGGGGAGCACTGCTGAGGGGTCTGTAGGTGTGCAGGGGGCAAGGTTGGAAGGAAGCAATAGCCCATTTCCAGGCATAGTCATGCCACACTCTATTTTGTGATTTAGGTCCTACTCTATAATTACCATCTTCAACCTTCAGTGAGAGGCTGTTAACTACGGCCTCTTTGCTAACAATCCAAAAGAGAAATGAAAGGAAAAAAAACAACAGCTAACAGGATGGGGAAGGGGACCGGTAAGAAGGGATGGGAAAACAGTCTGGGTCCAGGGGCGGGGTGGGGTTGGGGGTGTGACATGATGAGTATGGAGGATGTTTTACTCAGGGTTTGCTTTAATGTATGTGAATTTAGGACACAATGCATTCTTTTCTTGGTTAATTTTCTGAATAGGATTTATCATGTTTCAAAATTCGAAGAGTACAAAACAGTAGCAGGAGTCTCCTTCCCGCCCTTAGACACCCCCTTCCCACTCCCCACTGGCAGTCCTCATACGAGCTCATCATCCTTCAGGGGGTATTTTATAATTTTCCTAGAAAAAAACATGTAAAATATTTTTTTCTGGTTTACGTAAATAAAACCATACTATGCACACTATATCTGTTTTTGCATTTGATAACCCTGAGTAACTAACTTTCAAATTAATCCATATAAGAACATACGCTTTCTTTTTTGTGGCTGCATGATATTCCTGTATATGGGTGTACCATAATTCATTCTAAGTAATCCCAAACTTATTGGCATTTAGATCATTTTTTGACATTTGCTATTATAAAAATTAGGGAAATGATAAACTGGTAAACTATATTCTTTAGTGTGCTTGTATTACACCAAGAGTACAAATGATTTTTCTCCAGTAAAGCATAAATACAATTTAACTCATAACATTACTTAATAAATATGTGTTACTGAAAATATTGGGATCTCCCTGGTGGCTCAGATGGTAAAGAATCTGCCTGTAATGCGGGAGACTCAGGTTCGATCCCTGGGTCAGGAAGATGCCCTGGAGAAGGGAATGGCTACCTATTCCAGTATTCTTGCCTAGAGAATTTCATGGACAGTGGAGCCTGGTGGGTTACAGTCCATGGGGTCAGACATGACTGAGTGACTAACAATTTCACTTTCACTTTTCATTGAAAATACTGTTGCCACATATATTTGATTCAATCAGGTATCCTTTACAAGTCTTCCCTTGTAGCTCAGCTGGTAAATAATCCACCTGCAATGTGGGAGATCTGGGTTTGGTCCCTGGGTTGGGAAGATCTCTTGGAGAAGGGAAAGGCTACCCACTCCAGAATTCTGACCTGGAGAATTCCATGGACTGTATAGTCCATGAGGTCGCAAAGAGTCAGACATGACTGAGCAACTTTCACTAATAATAAAATTCCTTACAAGACAATTTACTTATTAGAGCTAGTAATAGCAGTGTATTTTCAAAAACACATGTAAATATTAAGAGATTCTTACCACCAATTGACTCAGGATGGTCAAAAGCAAAGGTCTTTGCTTAAGGCAATAAGAACAGAATGAGGCCCAGCTGCTCCATAGATTTAAGAAATTTTGAACTCGAAGTTAGGAAGTCTGGGTTTGATTCCTTGTCCTGCCATTGTGACTTTTTCATAAAATGGGGATAATCATTCCTGCCCTATGTACCTGGCAAAGCTGCTCTGAGGATAAAGTGGAAAATTATTTCACATACATGAAATCTGTTTACCAACTGCAAAAGTCTGAACTGATGTTTAATTTTGTTACTCTTACATTGCTTACAGCACAGGTTCTGGAGATCAGTAGACAAGCAACCTATGGAATAATTTCTGAAATTAATTTCATAAAAGAAATGATGCTGGGCATGACCATGTTAATTAAATGCACCAAATGGTGGCACTTACATATAGTAATGTTTTAAAAATCAATTAAAGAATCAGAAAGGAAACAGATCCCTGTTGGCTAACCACCGCAGTGTTTTTTTGTTTCTTCATTTGCCCCCTCCCCTCTCCCTGCCTCGTCTCCAGTTATTAAAATCAAGTTCACTGCTAACCACCTTGACAGGAGGTAAATCTGGAAACCACTCAAATCTGATAGAGTAGGTAATATCTTTTTGCCAATTAACATTGTTAATATTCTCGGATTTATACGTATCTCTGGATTCATTAGGAAGTGATCAATAAAATAAGTGGGCAGATGAAGTTTAAGTACTCTGGAAAATGAAATGCTGGGCTGTCTGGATTTGAGAAATATTAGGAAGCCTACTCATTTCACTCATTAAAACCCTCAAGACATGACATTACTGAAGCAGACAAGTGCCCTGGGCATTTCTCAGTCAATCCATTCAAGTTTCTGCCACCTCTTTTCGAGTCACTGCCGCCATGGCAACAGTCCACTGACCTGCCCTTAAGGGAAATAGGATTTCTGGCAAGACTGAGACTTTTAATAATTCCACTTGTCAATAAGGTCAGAGAGAAACAGATGGAGTCGTACGAAGTTACTTCACAATCCACTAACAAAATGAGTGACCCCCAGCAAATGACCAGACCCAGTCAGTGCTGGGAGCGTCCTCCAGGAAAGCCAACCACTGCATCATTAACGTCCAAGAAATCGGCGCCACCGTTGCCCATCCATCAAACCTTTCTCTGAGTCTGGACGTCCTCCTTCAATGTTTTCTTTATCTACCTTTCCCTGAAAAAGGTAAAAGTGTACTGGGCAGCTCACTCACAGTAATTATTTATCTGATGATTGATTTTCTCTAAAATTTTTTAAATAAATAAACACAAAATGCCCTACAAGAAAGGACATATTTTCTTATGCAAGCTTCGTTATTGGACTACCATCTAGAAATATCAGTTCCTAGTGACCCAACTTTCCTCTTGGGAGAGGACAAAAGTCTAGGAATATCAATTCCAATACCCTGGATCTAAACTCTCATCCCAAATATACCAGAGTCACTTCCTATTCACTTCTCCTGGAAATGTTCTAGTGCATTGTCTGCAGTTGTAACAGATTGCCTTTTGGGTGTCATTTCTTTCCAATTCAGAAATATAAACACCACTTCAGAGATTTATTTTACAATTCATCTTCTGATTTGTCATGGCCGGGAAAGTAGGCTTCTGGATTTTCTATTCTAAATTACTTTCTGAACAGATTTTTGCAAACAGACTAAGGAACAGCTTTTGCTTAGACAGGAACCAACTCCCAGAAAGCTGGGACCCAAGTTCTCTCTCTTCTGTTGAAATGTAAACAGTCAGGAACCCTACCATTTCCCAAATCAATTATTCGCCAAAGAATAAACAGGTGCTTTGGAGACTCTGGAGTTATAAAATGAAAACGGCAAATGATTTTTTCATGGGCCAGCTGCTCAACTGATGTGATTCTGAGGCAGGTTCTCCTAGGCTCTAAAGCTCAATTAGCAAATCAATTAGGACCATGCCCGTCTGCCAGCAGACCTGCCTGCCATCCTCCGCTCTCCTCCTCCTCTCAGTGCTTTCCGGTGCATCCCCGCAGCCAAAGCTGAAGCCTGGTCAGTCCACCTGAGGTTCCTCTGCTTTTTGCTCACGCTGGACAACAGGGGGAGGAGGGGGGCTGCTCCGGTTTAATGAAAGATTAGCAAACACCAGAAGGAGCAGCGCTCAACCCCACTTATTTCTATCTGCTCCAGCCCAGGCTCGCCTTAGAAGCTAGGCTCAGCACAGACTCAGGGGGACTGGCTGGCATGGCTGGCTATCACTTTGTTTCAGTGGAAAACAGATAGGACCAGTCAAAGCAGATGGTTCCTACAGGGACACATCCAAAAAATCTGCTAGCAAACTGTGGTGGCGTCTTTCACATAAACAGCAACTTACTGGAGAGGAAAATCAGACCCTCCTCGCCACATCCTGCCATGTTGCCACCAGCTTGAACATCACCCATCTGGGAGGGTCTCATCCTCGACGAGGCCCAATAACTCCTCCTTTGGAGCGAAGGACAAGCCTCCCAGAGATAGAGCCAGAGATGGGGGCACTAGCAGTGATGCTGACTGTATCTTTCCCAGTCTAGAGATAGAGCCATCATCATGGCTAATGCCCCCATATCTGTCAATAAAATCTGTTATCTAGGTAAGACCACCTTCAAGAGGGATGACTGACCTGTGCATCACACATGGTCATCAAGTTCTAAGAGAAGCAAATACAAATACTATGTATTTGCCCAGCTGGGTAGAACTGGAGATGGAGCCAGTGACACCTCAAATGGCAATTAAAAAAACAAGTGACCATTTTCATCATAAAACACTAATTGTTTTAAAGGATTTTTTTTTCTTTCCAACTTCAGATAAACTCACAGACAATTATTGGTGGAAGTCCTGGCTCGATTTATGAGTTCTGGCAAATCATCAGACATTTCTGACTTCACTGTCCTCATGAGAAAACGAGGGAGTTGAACTGAAATCAGATTTCCAAGGTCTCTTTTAGCACAAAAATTCTAAGGTTTTTTGGATGGGAGTGGGTTGGTCTCCTGCAACAGTTTGGCAAATCACATATTGAATTAAGCATCCGGTTTTTCAGCATAGATTAGAAACAGAGAGACTATTTTCGTCCCACACGTGGCTTACCTTTTCGACGGCTGTGTGCTCTTCATTTGTGACGCTGGCTTTTCTTGATTCATTTTTAGACCTGCTTAGCCTTCTGGATACTTTTTCTCTGAGTAGAGTGGCGTATCCAATGTGTTCATAGATGGGGTTTGTTGTCATTTTGGAAATGTATTCTGAAGCTTTTGTTTCTATGTACAGTGTTATCAAGCCATCTGTGACCAAATCATGAATCGATTCAAACCTCTTCTCGCCCACAAAGTGTTTTCCATCATAGAAGAGCCTGTAGTTTAAGGTCTGGTTTCCAAACCTGTCCATGAGGAAGGAGAGATCACAAGAGTTTTAGAAACCAGGTCAGTGGGTAACAGTGGCAGCTAACACTTCTGGGGTCTGTACTGAATGCCAGACACTGGGCTAAGGGCCTGACATGATTTCCCCCCATTAGGTTGTCATGGAGACCCTTCAAGACAAGTGCAATTATTATTCTTGTTTGACAGCTAGGGAACTGAGACTTAAAGAGATGGGGTACCTGCTTGAGGCTATACCCCTGGAAAAGATGCAAAGGTGGGTTTAACCCCAGCCAGTCCTATGGTATCATTTGGTCTTAGAAATCACTAAGGCCATGGGTCATAGTCATCCTCATTTGTATAGTCAGGGGGTACTGCCTGCTTCACAAATATGTTAAAAAATTTCTTAATGGGAATCAGCCATGCCCCTCCACTACCTCCCCTCTACCAGGCAATTATCTCTGCAGGGGAAGTTATAACCACTGGCCTTGGGTCCTTTTATTATTATATCTTTGACCATCATCAGCAGAGCACCCATGCCTTCTGCCCTAGTTGGTCCAGCAGAAGGGGAAGAGCGGAGCTGTGCAGCACCTTTGCTTGAGCATCAATGACAGCATCACAGAGACCTAATCACTAGGGTTCTCCCCGTTTAGTGCTGATTGTCCCCTGTTGGCCTTGGTCCTACAGCTCACAGCCCCTTCTGGGTTCCCCACTGGGACTGTCAGCTCCTGCTGCAGGGGATGCTGGTAAGCTGAGAAAATACTTTGCATCCCTAGAGCACTTGCTATTCTTGAAGTGCTTCCTCATGATGACATCACTGAAGATATGACATCCCCAAGTGCAGCTGGGAAAGCATCTATCTTTCTACAATCACAACACCAAGATGGTGGGTTGAACACATCTCTGTGGGTTGACCCAGGAATGGTATTTCATTGACACCATTTTTTTCCCATGACGACAGTGCTTCCTAATTCCAAAGAGTTCACAGATGAACTTTTGGAAGACAATCCAATTTTGAAATTGAAAACTTTCCTCAAACCTTGCAGGATTGTCATGAGGATCGAAGGATATAAAATATTTGATGCAGGTTAGGAAAGTGCAGTAAAGGCAATGCCTTTGGGGTGCTGTGACTTTTAATACTGTGATTTCATGGTAAAGTGCTTATGAGAGCTCTGTTCTGATGGCTTGCTAGCATGAAGTGTTATGACCGCTAGTGGGAGGTCTATGGGTCAATATGATCCCAGAGAGAACCCAGTGGACCAAATGCACGTTTGTTCAGGCACACACCCACAATGTGAGGTGAAGACTTTTGACAAAGGCTAAGGGAGGCAAGCTTTCTAGGTGGCTCAGTGGGTAAAGAAGGCTGCTAATGCAGAAAGATGCAGGTTTGATCCCTGGGTCGGGAAGATATCCCCTGGAGGAGATTACAACCCTTTCCAGTATTCTTGTTTGGAAAATCCCAAGGACAGAGGAACCTGACAGGCTACAGTCCATGGAGTTGCAAAGAGTCGGGCACACCTGAGCATAGAATTTGTGCAGAAAAAGGAGGCAGAGGTGTGTCTCAATTCACTGGCTTGATGTTTCAGGCAGAAGAAGCTCTAGAAGCACTAAATTTGCAGATAATTCTCCCAAGAATACTGTGCATGCATAAAAAGAGCCTTGGAGTCCATTAACCAATAACATCTGTGACTCAGGACACATGCAAGCCTGTAATATGCTGCTGGGTACTTTGTAAATGACATGAAAATAAAAAAAATAATGGGGGGCATGGGGAACAACTGATTAATGGAGTTTTTATTTGGGATGATGAAAAAGTTCTGGGAGATGATAGTGGAGATGGCTGCACAACATTGAGAATATACTTACTGCGCTGAATTGCACACTCATAGATAGTTAAAATGATACATTGTATGTTATGTATGTGCTTGTTCTTAGTCACTCAGTCGTGTCCGACTCTTTCCAACTCCATGGACTGTAGCCTGCCAGGCTCCTCTGGTCCACGGGATTCTCCAGGCAAGAATACTGGAGAGGGTTGCCATGCCCTCCTCCACGGGAATCTTCCCAACTCAGGGATGGAACCCAGGTCTCCTGCATTGTGGGTGGATTTTTTACCATCTGAGTCACCAGGGAAGCCCAGGAATACTGGAGTGGGTAGCCTATCCCTTCTCCAGGGAAATCTTCCCGACACAGGAATCGAACCAGGGTCTCTTGAATTGCAGGCGGATTCTTTACCAGCTGAGCCACCAGGAAAGCCCTGTATGTTATGTATATTTTACCACAATTTTTAAAAAAAGGGAAAAAATAAGTAAATCCTTGTAAAGCAGTTGCAACTGTGGATAATCGGGTTCACCTTAGTGCTAACGTGTAGCATCCTGGCTGGCGCTGGCTTTCTCGAAGAATGTAGGCACCCTCTACGCCTCCAAGAAGCTCATCTGCCTTCTCTCGGGAGATGATACCGTGGAACCTGAGGAGAGACAAGAGCATCTTTGTTCTGAACAGACCATACACCAAGTATGGACCACAAAAAGCTGGTTAAAAAAACATGGTGGGACCACCTGGAATTTACAGCTCCTCACCTTAATGAGGAAGGAAGTGACTACTGTATAGTTCCAGATGGGTTTGGACCCACCTCCCAGAATGCACCCAAACAGATAATATGCAAAACAAAAGGAAGAAGACCAAGTCCACCTGGCTTTCTGCTCTTGTCTTTGCTCACAAGCTGAAAATTAAAGTCAGAACCAAAAGCCAGGTTATGACTCCTCTTTTAACCACGGGGAATAACAAAAGAGCATTTACCAATTTAGCTCTCCGCTCATTATGTATTATCCTGATTGCAAATGAGCACATACTGATTATCACCCTGCTTAGTTCAGGTGTGGGGTGTTGTTCATTTAAGACGCTCATTCTCTGGAAAGAATAGCCAGCAGTCATGAACAGTCTTCTACTTTAAATTTTGAGAGCAATCGCTTAGGGATGTGTTTGGAAAATGTACCTATTTTTCTTTATTTAAAGATAATGTTTATTTTTTTCCCTTGCTACTGAAAAAGTAATACACATGCATGTAGAAAATGCAGTAGGATTTCAGGCTTGGCCAGAGACTGCCTTGCTCTGGAAGGGATGTCTGAGCCCTAGAGAGCGTACAGTGATGCCAGGGAAAAAAAGAACAGGACGGCAGTTAGGGACAGTCAGCCAGCCGGCTCTCTGTCGCCCTCAAACAATGACAGCTGCTCAACCCTGTTTTCAGAGATTTGATCATTCTGTGTTAGCGAGGAAGGTGGGAGCTGGGTTGCGGGGTGAGGTTAGTACCGAGGGGCCCTGGGTTCTTGGGAGAGGGAAAAACACTCTCTAGGATTACCCAATCTTAGATAATTTGGAAGAATAAATTAGAGAAAAAAAATTTCTGGACAAATAATCCTTTTTTACCTTCCTGGAAGGGAGAAGGGAGGGAGGGAAATTGGCTATACAAGTTTTTCCCCAGGAAGGCAAAGATTTTTTAGAGGATACATGTACCAGGATAATTTTTTGGAAAAAAAATATACCTATCACAATGGGTGCGTGCTAAGTTGCTTCAGTCGTGTCCAACTCTTTGCAACCCTATGGATTATAGACTGCCAGGCTCCTCTGTCCATGGGATTCTCCAGGCAAGAATACTGGAATGGGTGGCCATGCCCTCTTCCAGGGGATCTTTCCAACTCAGGGATCAAACCCGAGTCTCCTGTGCCTCCTGCATTGCAGGCAGATTCTTTACCACTGAGCCACCAGGGAAGTTCACGTATCACAATTTTTATGTCCTAATTCCCTTCTATTCTGTACAGCTAGATCTTACAAGCTGAAGCTTTAGTCTTAGGGGAGCGAGGTCCCAATGTTCTGGCTTTGAGTTCTCAAATCAGCTCTCAAAAGTCTAGGGCAGTGATAGCTTGGGGAAAAGCGGGGGCTGTGGCTTCTCAAATTTTGGTTTTAATCTTGAGAGCCAACACATGGAGGTCTTGGAGCAGCGCATTTCTGGGGTGAGGATAAATGTGTTGTGTGGCATAAGAGCAATCCTCCTGCCCAAAACTGCCCGAAAGGAGACCAGGGTCCCCAGTTATTTTGGGAGGGAAACTGGGAGAAATCTGGCCGGAGGCCAGGTTCAGTGGGTCTGAGTTGGGAGGTGGAGAAGCCTCCTTTGACGACGAGATTGGGCACATTCAGGGTGGTATGCCCATAGACTGGAGACCTCCTTTGTAGCAAGAGCTGGGGCTGGAGAGGGCTGGACAGATGGTCTGAGCAGAGACCTGAGGGCAGCCTGCAGTTACCAGGCCAGTGAGAGAGAGACAGAAAGACAGACAGATTTGGGGAGGGTAGAAGAGCAGAGGGCACTGGAAAGTTTCCCACATCAGAGTCAGAAAGGGCAGAAGCTGGCGCCACAAGATGTTTGAGGCTGGGATGTCCAGACAGCGCAGGGCAGGGGCTGGGGATGACCATGGCAAGAAGAAACACACACAGAGGAGCGCAGAGAAACCAGACACCCCAGGCCCTGATCACTCTCTGGGCGGAGAAGGGCAAAAGAAATGAGAGGAGGAGCATCCTAAACAGGCGCTTAACCTGGAAGCAGCTCCGATTAAACTCCCTTGTTTCAGGGAGAGCCAGTAGCAGATGTCAAGTGTCAAGAAGTAAGATAAATTCAATTGTTTGAAAGAAGTAACAATTTTGTGCACCTGAAGACGCAGTGTGCAGCTCATCATCCCCTTTAGGGATAGGTTTAAAGTGTCATATATATATGTGTAATGATCTCAACTTTTCAAAAAGAAAGCCTGCACAAAGACTGGAAAGAAAGAGATGAAGGGAAAAAAGTTAACAATACTTCTCTTAATGGTGGGTTATGGTGTGTTCCACATTGTCGATTCCTATATGGGCTTCCTTGATAGCTCAATTGATAAAGAGTCCACCTGCAATGCAGGAGACCCCAGTTCGATTCCTGGGTCACGAAGATCCGCTGAAGAAGGGATAGGCTACCCACTCCAGTATTCTTGGGCTTCCCTTGTGGCTCAGCTGGTAAAGAATCTGCCTGCAATGCGGGAGACCTGAGTTTGATCCCTGTGCTCTAATTTTCCCAAATTAATTTCCCCCATTTAATTAGGTATCTTTTAACTTTTTAAGAACCAAAACAATATCTATCCACAGTGGGAAAATTAAAAGGCACAAAAGAAATAAAAATATAAATGGTAGAGAAATACAAATTTCCTTTTCAGTAATGATACCCATTGTCCACACTTTCTTGTGGTTCTAAGAAAAAATATGTACAAATGTTTCCTGAATAGAGCATATCTTACATTTTGAATGGAATAAAAAAAAAACCTTTTATTTTTTAAAAAGAAAAGGAAACACAGAATCTGAATTTTTTAAGCTAACTTCCCTCTAATAGGAAATGTTCCTTTTTTGTGGTTTCTTTGGTCTCCTCTCACTATACAGTTTATGTGGATGGGGGTTTGAGGATGAGAACTAGGAGGTTATTCAATAAAAGTTTTATGCAAAAAAGGAAAAGACAATGAATAGTGTTCCTTTTGGAATTCATGTACAAAAGTGTTCTATCTTAGAAGTATATATTAGGTTTTCATTTTCTCTTTTTTTAATTCTTTGTTGTTGTTGTTGTTGTTCTAGAGCAAAATCCAAAACAGTATACTAAAGAAAAAAAAAGTCATCTTAAATCCAGGTTGAATGTTAGGGATGTGGGGGTGGAAGAGAGGAGGCCAGTGGTCCCGGAAGGTACTCCAGAACCCCTGGCTGAATTCTCAAGGCCCAGTAGGAAGGTTCAGAAATGCAGCCTGGCAATTAGGAACTGGCTGCTGAACTGGGACAAATAATAGCATCATTGATCACAAAAGTGAAGCTCTGATGGGTAAGGGTATAGAGGAGGGAGGTTTTAGATTGGTCAGTGGACTTTGCCTCTGAATGCCTCCAGGCTGGATGTGGGAAGAGGAGTGAACTGTGTATCTACCCCAACTCTGCGCTGGGCCGTTCTGCCTGTGCACCAGGCCACAGCCCCAGCCTGCTTATGTAATGCATATTTGCTTTGCAGTAGGTTTCTCAGAAAGTAAAACAAGAGATGAAATTAAGAAGAAAATGGGGGAAATCATAATTATGGTATTAAGGTAATTTGGCTAATAGATCCACATCAAGACAAATCATCGTTTTGGTTTTATGAGACTGTAAGGAAATGGGATGACTTTCCTGAGTGCTGCACTTACTGAGGTGCGTGAAAGCCAGGAATTAGGCCTCAGTTTACAATCTTTGACTCGAGCTGTTTATATGGCATTGAGGTAGAAGGTAAAATGAAAGACTAAGAGAGCCACAACTATGGAAAATGCTGCCTTATGTTTCAAATACTTCCAGGCACTCAGTGGCTGCTTTTGTAAAAAGAACTGAATGTAGCAGGAGAGAGCGTTCCTCCCCGACTTGTGAAAGCCAAACACCTGAATATTCTAAGAAAAATTCAATACAAAAGGATCTGATTGCATTTATCCTTATTATTAAACTCTTGCACAATGGACATTTGATGAAGACTATATATTGGCAAATTTTTAATATTTAATATTTAAATGACATATGAAAATGACTACTTATTATGTTGTTAAAACAATGAATAGCAGAATACTTACTCTCTTCCATAATATTTTGGTCTGTTTTCCACCTATATTAAAAAAGAAGAAAAGTATTAATAATGCATTTGAATTCAAATCAGATAGATAAAACTACTATTCAAATAAACAGAGCTAGAGTCCTGGAAATAATTTTATTACAGTTTTTATTCACCAAATCAGAGATCTAAGACATTCTGGAGTTAACCAACACACTCAACTTTCTTGAGTAAAAATGATCTAGAATTGCCATATTTCTCTAATCATTAGGCTCATTCCCACCCAAACTCAAACATCCAATAAAAAAATTTTCAAAGGAAATAAAATGAAGCTTATTTTAATATTAAGGAATTGATAACAGTATTATGAGGCTTCATCCTGAAGGACAGAATAGGTACTTCTAGCATGAATAAAACATAAATATTTATTTCAATCTTCCTCTAATTGTTTCATTATATGGTTGTAATAAAAATGGGGTGTACACCAGGATTAAAAATAAGCTTAATTTGGTCTCTTTACAGATAAAACCTACATCCTAGCATTATTTTTTCAACAAATGGCTAATGGGCTAAAATTCATTTCACATCAGAGGTATAAACTTTGGAGGATAAGATTTATGAGTTGACTGAAAAGCATAAATATTCCAGAAAAGATTTTTCAATCATATCTTGAGCCTTGGGGTAATCACACTGGATTTCTACCACATATATGTGATAATCTACTTTCATACAAACTTTGTTTTCTTTTGTTAAAGGTGTTGGAGTTGGTGAGAAGTTAACATGAATTCCCATGTTCAGCTTTTATTCTTCTAGTCTGATTCCAGGGACACTGAGGATACGTAGAGCTACAAGAAGTTATAGATTTTCATTGATGTTTATAAACAGCAAGTTCATGTTTATTTGCTAAAGTAGAATATGAGCTGGGCGGCTATTTCATTTACAGTCATTTCTGTGTATAGTCAAATGGGCAGTTTTCTCAGCAGGGCAGAGTGGTGGTATCTGAAGTCAGTTTCCTAGCTTACCTCTACCCTCCAAATGATGCAGGGGACCTGATGTGAAGAGCTGACTCATTTGAAAAGACCTTGATGCTAGGAAAGATTGAAGGCAGGAGGAGAAGGGGACAACAGAGGATGAGATGGTTGGATGCCATCACCGACTCAATGGACATGAGTTTGGAAAACTCCGGGAGTTGGTGATGGACAGGGAGGCCTGGTGTGCTGCAGTCCATGGGGTCACAAAGAGTTGGAAACGACTGAGCGACTGAACTGAACTGAAGTGGGCAGTAGGGAGCTATGCACTAGAGGAAAAGTTTCAAAAGGGGGAGCCAGGGGACCATCTTGACAAGCCTGCCTTTGGCAAGCCTAGCTGGCATAAAACTAATCATCTAGACACTTCTAAATATGTGTTCACTCTTCTGTGCATTTTACACTCGAAAAGCACTGAACCAAGGGAAGGCATTCATCACTCTTAATCTTCAAGGTTTGAAGCCTGCTAGGTGTCATTTACAAAGGATGATCTAAAATAATAGCATTAATCGAAGCACAAAGTATGTAAAAAGGCACCTTGTTATCTGATGCGTACCATGACACTACATACTAGGGAGCTTTTGAATGTGAGTTGCACATTTTGTCATTTACATCGTTCTATTAGCTTTCTCAGTTCTTTCCTACTCTTAGGACACACGTTTATAAAACTAGGTATAGCTCCCAACCTCATTCTCTTCCTCCATCCTCTTATCTTTTCAAAGGGGAAGAGTAATTAACCTAACTTCCCAGATGGACAGCATGGCAGATAGAGCTTACTACTAACTCCTGGCATGCAGGTAAGTTAGTTTAATTGACTCTTAAGACAACAGATTGCTTTCAGTTCATCTATCACTCACTAAAATACACAGCACACTTATGCTCAGAGCTCTTTGCTCAGCCTTGTCATTGTTCAGGAAGTGATGATCTCACAGATATGAGAGGAAAGATATAAAGAGCTCAGGGGTGTTCTGTACTTGCAGTAGAAGGGAACTTTTGAAAAATCTAACATAGGCCCCCAAATAGGGAAGTCAATATCTAGGGTGCCTTGAGAAATACCAGATGAGATCCTGCCTGAAGGACCCTTTGATCCAATTGAAGAACAAATCTGCATATGAAAACTGCAAGAAAATAAAACAAGAGCACTGAATCATGTCGGAGAGACTCCACGTGGAATACCATCATGGAATAGGCACCCAATATTGCAGAAAAGGTGTACTAAAATACTATTCTTCATTTGTCTGAAATTCAAATTTATCTAGGCATCCTGTTTTTATTTCTTTTTTTCTAAATCTGGCAAAGCCACACAGCAGGGAGAGGAAAGGTGGAAGTAAGAGCGAAGACAGAGGATGTGGACAGACATCCAGTCACGGCTCCCACTGTCCCGGCTGTTTTGATAGTGATCTGATTCAATCTCTCTTCCTGGTGTTGTCTCTGTAGCTCGTAAAGAAAATATAGCTGTCCTCGTTAGTGTTAAAGAGAGAAATGATGACTGGGATAAAAAGCGATAACAATCACCTCTTCCTTTTCCTAAACTTTTTGCTCACAGGAATCTAAACATAGTCTTTCTCTCTACCTCTCATTGAGCTTTTGAGCAGTCAAGAGCTAAATTTAAGTTAAATGATGCCAGAAAAATCATAGAATATCCACATTTTTCTAAGATCGGTCATTTTGGATCCTCAGATCCTGACAAAACACAGTCAGCTGACATCAGGGCTCTGAGGGACAAGGGCTTTTGACTAACGTCTACCTTGTGACCGAGTACTGCCTTAAAGGAGCCTGACTCTGCCCCAGGCGCTGCTTCACATTAAGCATCGATGGGATCATGCTGTACCTGTGAAACACAGATTTGTTTTATTAAAGAAGTCATAGCATTGAAGTTCAATTTCCAGGTGTATGAGATTCTCTTCAGTGAATGAGACAGAGGACAATTGATAAATAATAAGTAAAGCAGCTCTGAAGTTCCTCCGTTTTCATTGAGAATTATGTCATTAAAATTAGGCAACTTGAGAAAAATGGAGGGCTAATTTAGGTAGTCACATGGATTCAGGAAGGGACAAAAACACAACATATTCCAACATGAAGGGAAGTTGTCTGCCAGGACAACGACTAAAGCTGGACAGCCCATCACACTGGTGAAGCTGGTCACTGTGAGTATGACTGGCTCTTGGGTTTTAGTGATCCAGTTTCAGAAGTGAAAGAGGCCCAACCTTTTTAGGAAAAAAGTAATAATTTGTGGGCATTTTGCTCATCTTCCAATGCTGGATCCTTTCATGATCTATCTGGTTCTGAAAAGAACACCACTCTTTGCAAAAGGAGGATACTAAGCCAACCAGTGAGCAAACACACACCTGAAATGGATACTCTCCAAGACACAAGTGAATTCAGTTATGTGGTGTGACTGCGCGAAATGGTGGCTGACTTTTTTTTAAATAAGTATAACTGAACATCACATTCTAAATAAGGACCATCTACAGGAGATTCCCCTTCATGGATCACAGCCTTATCCTGGTGAAAGTGCTTGTGTAACTCAAGAAACTATGAGCCATGCTGTACAGGGCCACCCAAGACTGATAGGTCATAATGAAGAGTTCTGACAAAACATGGTCCACTGGAGGAATAAATGGCAAAAACCCTCCAGTATTCTTGCCAGGAGATCCCCATGAATAGTATGAAAGGGCAAAAAGATATGACACTGGAAGATGAGCCTCCCAGATTGGAAGGTGTCCAATATGCTACTGGGGAATAGCAGAGGGTAATTACAAAGAGCTCCAGAAAGAATGAAGAGGCCGGACCAACACAGAAAGTTGTGAAAATGTCTGGTGGTGAAAGTAAAATCTGATGCTATAACGAACAATATTGCATAGGAACCTGGAATGTTAGGTCCATGAATTAAGGTAAATTGGATGTAGTCAAGTAGGAGATGGCAAAATTGAATATCAACATCTTAGGAATCAGTGAACTAAAATCGATGTGAAGTGAAAGTCGCTCAGTCGTGTCCGACTCTTTGCAAGCCCACGGACTATACCATCAGTGGAATACCCTAGGCCAGAATACTGGAGTGGGTAGTCTTTCCCTTCTCCAGGGGATCTTACCAACCCAGGGATCAAACCCAGGTCTCCTACACTGCAGGCGGATTCTTTACCAGATGAGCCACAAGGGAAGCCGAAGAATACTAGAATGGGTAGCCTATCCCTTCTCCAACAGGTCTTCCCAACCCAGGAATCGAACTGGGGTCTCCTGCATTGCAGGCAGATTCTTTACCAACTGAGCTATCAGGGAAGCCCAAAATCCATGCGAATGAGCAAATTTAATTCAGATGGCCATTATATCTACTACCATTATATCTACATCCATCTACAGGAGATTCCCTGTGGGCAAGAATCCCTCAAAAGAAATGGAGTAGCGCCCATAGTCAACAAAAGAGCCTGAAATGCAGCACTTGGGTGCAATCTGTAAAATGACAGAATGATCTTGGTTCATTTCCAAGGTAAATCACTCAACATCACAGTAATCCAATTCTATGCCCCAACCACTGATGCTGAAGAAGCTGAAGTTGACTGGTTCTATGAAGACCTACAACCTCTTATAGAACTCACACCAAAAAAGATATCATTTTCATCATAGGGGACTGGAATGCAAAAGTAGGCAGTTAAGAGATACTTGGAGTAACAGGCAAGTTTGGCCTTGGAGTACAAAATGAAGCAAAGCAAAGGCTAACAGAGTTTTACCAAGAGAATGCACTGGTCATAGCAAACACCCTGTTCCAACAACACAAGAGATGACTCTACACATGGACATCATCAGATAGTCAATACCTAAATCAGACTGATTACGTTCTTTGCAGCCAAAGATGGAGAAGCGCTATACAATCAGTAAAAAAAGACCTGGAGCTGACTATGGCTCAGATCATGAGCTCCTTATTGCAAAATTCAGGCTTAAATTGAAGAAAGTATGGAGAACCACCGGGCCATTCAGGTATGACCTAAATCAAATCCCTTATGATTATACAGTGAAAGTGAGAAACATATT